CTTAGATAGCTGGTCGGCTTCGTTCCACGATTATTGGATTACTTATACCACTGCTTGTATTCGTACACGGCTGATTATACGTCGAGTTATTCTCCTCGTTGTCACTTTCACTCCTACCTACGCGAACAAGGGATTACAATGATACAGAGACGAGATTTTGCTCGTGTTTCGGACTCGTTGACGGTTGGACGGATGATTTTTCAATTTTCACAGCACTGAGATTTACTTTGAAATGACGCATCAAGGGATTACGGAATAATCGTGGTATTAGGAAGATAAAACCGACGGGAATAGTAAGGTTGATAGCGGATTGATTTAATTCTTGATTAGGTGAATTGAGGTTTGTTAGAGATTGGATATGTAATTAATTTAGTTGAAACGAGCGAGATTTGGGTCATTGAATGATTAGGATAATTTAACGATGTTCATGATTTATTCGTTGAATAGGAATATTGAATCAATTCGAATAGAAATTTTAAAGATTATTGGAAATATTAGTAATCATATAAAATTGTAACATATATTACTATTTAAAATGATTAGATGCTTTGCGATGAGAATCAGGATAAATTATGATTGTAATATCCATCAATTAATTATTGTAAGGAAATTAAATTAGATGTTTTAATAAATTCACTAAAAAATGATAAACAAAATTATTAAAAAACATTAAGAAAATAATTGAGGAAACATACTTATCACAATATCTTCAAATGGATCTTGATCTTGAGATGATCTTGATCCTCCATTTTTAATCTTCAAATCAAATCAAATGATCTTCTTCCAGATAATCTAAAATAAAAATATATGTTATTATAATTATAAAATAAAATATATAAAATATATAAAATATATTCCAATATATAATTATTAATAAAAACAATATATAAATTGTATGAAATGTTAATTATTAATAGATTAAACAGATAATAATTTTAATTTAAGATTATCAAATCAAATAGAGTATATTTATATTGAATTAAATTAAATTCTAAATATGACTGAATTGGAATTATCTGTGACACTATATCAATCTTCGGTATTGATTAGTTAGAACAGCAGTCACTAAAACTGTCACTCGAACACGTACATCTTATAGAACATGTCTAACTAATAATCATAAATCTGTACATGTAACATTCTTTGTTCTCCTGCATCTGAAAAGAAGAACAATGAATAACAATCGATTTTTTTTTCAATAAACGCGTAAATGATTCAACATTCGATCATGTAATAAAATCATTTGCTTGATATCATCGTTTATTATGGATTTTGTATGCAATAAAATAATGTACAGAATATAATACACTTGTTAACAAATTTGGTCGTTCGTGTGGCCTTAACTTAATTAATTCTATTGACTCGATGTCTGTTTGATCTCCAATGATACTAGTTCTTTAATTATTCTGCCATTTACGCAATATTTATCGCAGACGTTAATTGTTACCTGTTTAAACGATGCATTCATCAGTTAATCGATAAGACACTGATTTAATTTATATCAAATGACGAAATGGCGAAATTTAAAATTAACGAATGGTTAAAAAAATGGTTACAAATTACGTTAAATAAATTTTTAACGGTAGGAATAAAATAAAATTTATTATATTTTTTTTCTTGATGCAATATTGTATGAATTTATATTTTATTTGAAATAAAATTCAATTTTTACTTTTATGATTCGATAAAACTGTAATTTTTATCTAGAATTGTGAAAATCGTTGAACTGGTAAAAAATCATGTATATGTGATAGTTATATGTGATATCTTTTATTAAAACGCACATTTTAAAAAAACTAGTATATTATTCTTTGAAATTTTTATCGAATAAAATTCGCATAATTCACAATGCTGAAAAAAAAAAATGATTTCCATTTTAAAAAACAACCTATCGATTTAAGTATTTTTTAAATATATACTAAATATATTTTCAAAATTTTTATCTTCTACCTAATATCTTTAAAATTTTCAATTCATATTTTAATTTCAATATTTTAAATTGCCAATGAACTTACGCAATCACAAGAGGATCGTCTACTATAGTGCTTCCTTCTATAGCAATTACGAGTTGTTCACCGTAACGATAATCTAACACGTGCGCCGGAAATGGTACCATTTCATTAATAATATGAATTATACATTGCAAATGGGTGTCCTTGGTCCACAAGTCAATAACACATTCTAATCGGAAGCCGATGCACACGCGAACTTCCGTGCATTGTGGTTTCCACGTGCTAGAATAACTCTATCTCCTTCTCGATATTGACCACAGAGCAGTGTATTAAGTTCGGCGAATTATATAACGAAAGTGGAAATTTACCGTCTGTTATGATGAACTAATTAGCGAAGCAATTGGGATTGTGCAGAAGAAACAAGACTGAGACAAATATATACGAGATTAATTTGATATGAGATAAATGTGATAGATGAATATAGTAATTTGCGAAGGAAATTACCAAAATTTGGAAAAATGAATTTTCAAAATGGATAAATTAATATTGTATAAGAATTAATAATGTATATCATAATATCTACTCGAAAAAATTTCAAAACTTTAATCAAGGAAATTTTAAAGAGTTTAAACTCAAACAATTTCAAAGAAAAGAGATAAATGATTTCAATTTTTAGAAGAAATTTCCAATACTATTTAGCATTGCACGTGAAATTCAAATGTCTTTTGCTTAAGCAAAGTCTATCTCTTGCTAATCTTTATTTTTTTGTAAAATAACTTACTTTTAAATTAACCAATTGAATATTTGTCTTCCTACTGTTCGAGAATCTGGGTTAGTAGTGCTTATTCTAGCTCTCTAGTGGTTCAATAGAATGAGAGATTCAATTCGCAGTTTAATTCAATTCAATCTCCAGGCGTTGTATAAATAAAAACGTTTAACAATCTGCTTAATCTTTTCAATCTTCAGACGATTCTTCATGCATATTTCATTTTTGTTTTTTTAACTCTTGAATAATTCAATAATTAGAATGAGATTAGATTGTCCAGTAATAAGATAAGAAAAGGAATAAGTTGAAGAAATATTATAATTTTTATAATTTATTATAATTACATGTATATATCAGATATTTTTCTTAATTAATTTTGTTAATTTTCTATTTATATTTTATTTTTATTTTCAGCGTTTATACGATACAGAAATATGTTCTTTATTAAGTTAAAGGAAGGAATCTTAAATAGAATTTGTATTTTCTTGTTATATTACGAGAAAGTAAAGCTCGAAATAAAGATCTATATCCAATTTATATGATAATATATTTATTTATATTATATATTAACATAAAATATAAACAGATAATCTGTCTAATAAATATAAATATAAATATAAATAAATAATTAGATAAAGAATGTTAATTTAATACATTATTCGTATATTAAATTCCATATGTCACACGTGGAATGCATCATATGTATTTCAAATGAAATGAATAATATAATACGAAATAAAATTTCTTGTTAAATAATATTATATTTAATTATCAATCCATTATTATAAAATTTGTAAATAATTTTTTGTAAATAGTGGATGGATATCGATACGTAATATACATTTAATCGTATATACTATCAATCAATAGTAATTTCAGAAATATATTTAAGAGTTAAGTTAACAGTGAAATTTATGAAAGAACTTTTGAACTTATGAAAAAATTTTTGAAGCTTTTGAAATATAATTTAGTGACAACTTTTCGCACTACGAAATATTACAAATTGGAGTTATAAATTATTAATCGTTATTAATGATTAACGATCGTAAAATGAAATGTAACGTGGAATAATCGTTATTTGAAACTTAATTCTCGCGTTTAAAATTCTCTTTGAAGTTTTTAAAGATTATTCCTCCGTGAATTATACATTTTACGCGGACAAAGCGTTAAAAAAGAATCAATTCTCGCCTGACCATATTCCTTATACACTATGATAAGATGCATAAGATTCAAGTAGATTGTCAAAGGCTTTTACTTTGCAAAAAGATCTTTTATAAGGTCAGATTTTATATTCCGTTAAAGAGATGTCACGATATATGCATATAAAAAAAGTAGAAATAAGAAAAAATATCGAGACGAAATTTCTTAAATATAATGATATTAAAAGAGATGAAATGACAAATATATTTATATATTATATATAAAAATTATCTTTTATAAAACTGATTAAAATATATAAACGTATCATTTTACCAGTTTTTTACCCTGTTATGCTATTTTGTAATCAATTGAATAATTAAATTTTATTTTTATCAATTGATCAATATTTTCTACTTTTAAATTCAAATTAAAATTATATCTATAGACTTTTCTTTTTATTTCCTATCCATATATCCACTATAATTATATAAATTATTTAAATGTTTATGCGCATATTATTTGCATATTAATAAAATCTGATTTGACTTGTATATTAAAGCATTGTAATGAATAATGTATCAACTCAATATCTATAAACAGAATTTATATTATTATTAAATTCTAAACGTTATTTGTTATTGTTCAATATCGTTATTTTATTTAAGAAGAACAATACCCACAATAAAATTATATAGATACGTTTAAAAGAAAATAATTTTTTTAAATAAAAATTATTTTAAAAAATACAATTGCTATATAACTTTAATATAAACTTTGATAAATAGTTCTGATTTCATTTAATAGTTTATATATTACATTAAATAACATAATTTTTATAAAGCTATATCTTTTTTTTTTTAACTGTTTTCACCTGTAAAGATTATATTTCAAATAATTAAAAGAAAATGAAAAATAATTTCATTTTTTAATGGAATCTTATGATCTCACGTAACGCGATTTTATTCAATATTATTTGATATTATAATTTATTAAGTATAAAATTATTTTGAATTCTCGTATAGCAAATGCATCGATCATTATATCCATTAATTCGATAATCGGATATTTATAACGTTTTATGCATAAATTGTTTAAAGTTCGCGTTAGAATATTATTTTGACTACCACCGGAAGAAATATGATTTTTTGTCAAAAGCTTATAACATTGTTTCAAAGGAAGTGATGTTTGACAAGTGCGGTGACATTTCATAAAATAATTCCGTGTTTATGTTATAGGTTTTTGAAGTGTGGACGTTGTTTTGACAAAGAACGTTGACACGTGGAAATATAAAACGCGGAAAGCTTCCTTTTGCTTTGTAAGACTTTCAAAACAAGCTTCCTCCTAGACATGACGGGTTTTCAATATATTGGTTTTATACTTAAAAGAATTCGGTTTCCTTGCTTTGAAGAAACTTATCCTGTGGTGTTGCGTTCACATGTGTAAACAGATGAATTTTGTTTAGAAATTCTTTAAAATTTTATCAAATATTCTGTATAATATTAAACTATAAATAAAATAATATTTATTAAATACACGATTTTATAACATTATTTTGTTCTAATCATATTTAACATCACTAATATTGAAACTTTTGATTTGATATTCTTTGCAATATTCGTTTCGCTTTCATATTTGTTTTCTAAATATTTTCCTAATATTTTCATATCATAATAACACAGACATAACATGGCGACAAAATTTAACCTAATTTACTATTTCCATAATATTTCTATAATAATATATACTGTAATATCAAAAGAATAAAAATTAAGCTGATCTAACCCAATTACATTTAATATTACTGTCACCATCGAGAGATTCAAAGAACACTAGTTTCAAGTTTCGAAATTCTCATATTTTCGTAACATTTCCATACCAAAATAACGCGTACGTGACATCGAACAGATGGAGAACGAAGCTGCGCACAAAATGGGAGAATAAATCTCAAGATGGACTACAGATGGGCAGTCGTAAAACGATCGCGCTAATTCAAGACAAGATTTAATGCAATCATTAAAAATGGCTGACGTATTACTGCGTAGTTCCTTCATGTTTATTTGCCCTGAAATTGTAGAATAGCGTGTTCTTCTTGTAATATAGATGCCTCCGGGGATCGTTGAAGATTATCATTTGGCATTAATTCGATTCATACGCAACCGTTGCAACCGGTTCTTCCTTTCGAGGAAAAAAAGGCTCGACGTATTCCTTAACTAATTTCCAACCATTTTTGCCAAGGGGATTATATTGTGCCGCATCTGTTTCTTACACTAGAATTATATCTCGAAGAGAAATAGAAAGGAGAAAGGAGATTGCGAGACTTGGAGAAAGAAACAAGGAGTTACCGCTTTCCCTAAAAGATAGATTTTTAATGCAATTTTTAATAGAATTTCGTGAAATGAGAGCCGGGTAATATATTTCGTAGTAACTCGAGACGACTTTTACTTTATTACGAACTTAAACGTCGGTCGCTTCGACGAACTCTTATTCTTCGTGTTGATAAATTGGAATTCAGATTAATAAGAGGGCAAAAAATTGTCAAGGTGAGGTAACACCTAGCCCACGGGGAGAATAAATTGGAGAACAGTTTCTCGGACGGTGGAAGGGTAGAATCTCTCACGCGACGGTATTTCTGGAATATTAAAACGCGAGGCTGGAGCTCAAGAATTTCCATAAAGATAAATAGGAGTCGGTTGTATCGAGCAATTTCCATTTACGGGAAGAACAAGTCTGACGTTTAATCCTATGGCATCCTTATCCATTCTAGAATTCAAGAATTCATTTACAGATGGACATTGAATAATGTACGATCTATATATTTAAAAGATTTTTTCGCAAATTCTGAAACCAATCTGAAACTTTTCGACTATAAAATAAGATATCCTTGATTGAAAAATTTATTATGAGTTTAAAAAGTTGGAAAATGTGACGATAGAATTGCATGAAATGAATTAAAGATTTGAAGAAAGTTGTGTTAGCATTAGCCCAATGGTTGGTAGAGATTGGAGATTGGATAATATTTCTTTCGAAAACGAAGAACAAGAGGAAAGCTATTGACGATAATGTTTCTACGAAAAGTAACGAGAGAAATGGCATCTCAAATGGAAGTAATCTATTCTATTATTCATCATTGACTCAAATAGGAAAAGTGGAGGAAATGGACAAATGGATTGCACATGAGTTCTGCGATAGTACCGTATAAAAAGTTGAATAAATGGAGATAGCTATTTTATTATTTCAAAGAAATAATTAGGATCTATTTTTAAAACGTTTAATAATATTCGTTTTCTGCGAGCAAAAATGGATTTTATATAAAAATCGAAATTATTAAAACAATATTTAAAAATGTGTATAAGTTTTAAAGATACAAAATGATATGATAAAGTATATAATAGAGGAAGAAACTCAAACTTTTAATTATTAAATTAGTTAAATATAGGATGTAAAAATAATTTCGTTTAAATATACAACATTTTATAACCCTTTATTGTCCTTACGCTACTGTAATACCACTTGTATTAAAGCGTTGCTCATACAAATATGTTTACAATCCTGCTGGGACTTATAAATAATTAAAATCCTCTGAGACACTATAAAATGGTCAGCATTTTCAGAACTATATTTAATTACATAGAAAAAGAAAAAAATGTGTTATATATTCTTCGTTTTAAAAATGACTCGTGTAACACTATTTTTAAAAATATATTTTATATGTAGAATATTTTTAATCAAAAAATTCTATTTTTTTAATTCTAAGTTTATCATTAAAGAAATTCTAATTCTAACAATCTAAAAGATATTTATACACTTAAGATATTTCTTATTTTTAAATAAAAATTCCAATGAAATAATTTAATTCTAAAATAATTAAAATATTATTAAAAATTACATATTCAACTGTATACGTAATATGTATAAAATATTTCATACCTTCTTTCAGTTCTCTCATAATCCTGCATTTTTCATATCTTCCATCGCCCATTAGGAAACTTTCAATGCAATCATACTCGATATACAGAATTTGCAATGAAACATGATCGTTGGATGGAGAATGATCTCGAACCGGTTTATGATAATTCCACTTGAACGAAATCCCACCTCGAGGGTAGAGATGAATCGCGAGATTTGATGAACACGCGTCTATAAAGCTTCTTATTATGATAGTATTCGCGGTTATGAGCGTTAAGCGATTGTTAAGCATCTAATAGTTGGTATAAAGTGGTTCGTTTCGCATAGAAGATCTCGTAACGAGTATTTCCGCTCTTGGTTGTTCGTTGAAACTTTAACCAACTTTAGTTCAATTGAAATTCTTTCGCAAAATGTATTTAGATTTATGAACACGTTATTGTACATTTATTATTTTACAAAGCTTGTTGTTAATTGCAAAGAGAACGTTGAAATAGAATTGCTTACAAGAAAGCGATATATTTTTTATTATTCGAATGATAAATTGTTGTTTGTCGTGAAACGATGGATTAAATTACATATTTTCATGGTGTTTTATTGTTTGAAATCTTCGTTTCGTGTTCTTAATTCATCTGAATTTCAACATCTTTAGTTGGAGTGTAAAAGTAACACGAATACGAGTATCATAATTATGTTGAATTATTTTACTTATTTTTTAAACTATTATTAAGATTTACACTAAATATCTTGAAATTAAGAATAGATTCAAATTATAATTTCAATGTGTATTTATAAATCTAAATTAATTCAAATATCTTCAGACTTTATATTTTATTTGTAATTATAATTTATAATTCTTGTAATAATTTATTATTTTTTGTTACTTATTATTATAGTATGTAGTGTTTGTTTTGTTCTCAAATTAATTATAACATTCTTATTAAAAATTCCTTCCTAGTTAACTTTTAAGTTTTCTTTTATGTAAAATATTTTCCAACATAATATATATTTTATTTTAGAATCAAATTGCAGAATCTTTTTATCGTAATTTGATAAGAACTGATGCTTTTGTTATCTTTGGCCAGAAAGCATTTTCTTTGTAAGAAAAAAATCGATAATTTTCTTTAGGTTTCCTTCCTTGGCTACCTAGTTGGCGCCAGTATTCCTTTCAAAGTTTCTGTGCTTGAAGAGAATCGACAGTAGTCCATGTCGGTAAATTATCAGCTGCTGGATGTCTGACCATATTTTACCATCTCTACTAACGTAGCTCATTCTCTCTTTACGATATTCGTCTTAAAATATCATATTACAAAAATTTAAATATAATTTTGTTATGTTTGAAAATGATTATAATTATATGTTAATCATATTTATTATATTTATATATTTTATGTTAAAAATATATTACAATAATTCAACAATAAAAATATATTAATAAAAAACAGGATTCCTATCCAGTTCGTATAAAATTATACCAATTATTACAATGTAAAAATAAAATAATTAAATCGTTTTAAATATTAATATGAAGTAAATAATAAAAAACGAGTAAAAGATATATATATATATATAAAAAAAAAGAGAAAAATATTATGAATATATTGTACTCGTAAATAATCTACTTTTAGATCTTTTATATAATTACAATTATAATTAAATAATTAGAGGAATAATAATAATGGACTTACCATTAGATACAAAGAAACTTATTATTGATAGTGATATGAAAAGTCATCGTGAATTCCACATGTAATTCCATCTCGTATAGAAGAATGTGAAGGTAGTGAAACATCTGTAACAAAAAATAAAGTATTATGAAGTATTATGATTTGAAGTACAGTAATGAAATGCTAAAATTTAATTGATATTTACTTTTAAAAAAAAGAACATGTAAGAAATAATATAAATAAATTAAACAATGAGAAAAGTAGATCAAAGATGAAAAATATGAAAAGAGCCAATAATGAACGTGGAGAAATTTTAATAAAAGTCACATGGACAATCAATGTTGGATTTCATTTACGGACTCTGAAGTTTTGAAGTATTCGCCTCGAGTTTTCTCGATGAAACCTTGAACACCAAGGTTGCAATAATTAGATTCTTGAGAGGGTTCTATAACTACTCAAGAAATATCTACGTACACAAAGATGGAACAACCTCAGCTTATATCGTGTTTGATGTTCAATAATATTGCTCCAAAGTAGTTTCTACTTGATGCTTTTTATAATTTTAAGCAATTATTTCTAATAATTTGTAGATTAATTATGTATAATGAATTGATTTGTATATTATTTGTATATAAAAAACTTTATAAAAAATTACATTCTATTAGTTAAAGTGGATAGTATTTCACTTAATTTTTATTCAATTTCTTGTAAAATATTTATAATTGCAATAATATCGAATAGAAAATAACAAAAGATAAAAAAGTAACCACGAAGTTGCTTTCTTGAATCAAGAAACAAAAAAAACATCGTATATTTATGCTTTTGAATCATCATTCAAATTTCCTTTTACAAATATTTTAACATTATGATATTTCAATATCATTAAACTGAATAAAACGATACTTTGCTGAATAATTCTAAATATCATTTGATATATTATTGCAGACAACTCGACTATCAGGTTGATAATGCATATCGTACGTTGATGTGTCTAACGTTAGTTTCGCCATTACTAATTGCATGTACACATAAGCATGCGGTATCAAACAGTACTCATCTGCAGTGAATGTAATCGTGTGCGTTATAACGTGTGTATATATACAGGTGGATATTATTGCCAAGAGACAGACAAGGAGGGTCAAATGGGCTTGTTTGTGCTAGTTGTGGATCAAACGTGTCAGCACACAGTTTCTTGGAACGTATCGCGTTGCGATATCACGAATGCACCGCATGTATAGCGAGAGATTGCAAAGCTTTCTGGTAAGGGAATCGCGTCGTCTTTCGAGATTTACCAATGTAGGTATCTTTCTCTCGAGTCACGGTGCTTTCTTTAATGGCAGACGTGGATATGAATGTTTCAGATGGTTTGGGATTGTTGGAAGATTTTATATGGTCTATAAACTTGAGGTGTGAAGAATTTTTCAAGACAATGCAGGTCATGAAAGTATTCGAATACTATTTTAAAAAGAATTTTACGTTATAAAATAAAGACTTCATTTTAATTGGTTATGTATAGTTTAATGGAGCAATATTCAATCAAATTATTGATTTTAGAATTGTTTGTTCATTTAAGCATAAGTATAATAATATTAATTTGTTTAGATTTGTTTAACGTTTGATCATTTCAAATTTGAAGGAATTTATTAGGATTTATTAAGGGAAATTTGATTTGATTATTATTTGACAAGTAGAGTAATTCAGTAAGATAATTTTATAATGATTAATTAAAAGTATTATGTAAAGCTTCATTATCATAATTAAAATAATAAAAAATATTGCACTTAAAAATAAATTGAATGCACATTTGTATAAACTGTAATTGAAGAGACTAACTTAAATCATAATTATTTCCTTTTATTTATATGAAAAAATTAAATGAATAAGTAAATAAAAAATTATAATGAATCGAATAAAAATGAATGAATTAAAATTCACAAGAATATCATATCTATATCATTTCCTTAATAAGTTTTCTCAAAGAGAAATTTCTCTTTTTTTATAAAAAATAATTATCTCGAAATAACTAGTTCCCATAAATAATAAGCAATTAATACTTATCTCAACAACTTGAAATTTTCTTCCGAAGAATGTTTGTCGAAATAAGACAGAAGGAATAAAAATAAAATGGCAAAAAATCAGAGAAAAAGGGCAAACGGAACAATTTACCCGTAACAAGACATTTTTTTATAGCTCTTCGTGGAATTACGTCACGTTTATTGCCATTCATTTCCATGTTTTTTTCTTTCTCGTTCTCATTTTCTTTTTCTCATCTTATTAGCATCGTCATTCCTTAACGAATGAGAGTGAAAAGAAGGAAAAATTGCTATGTAAACAACAAGAGCTTAATGGATTTCATCCTCGACAATGAGGAAACTTCAAGTGCAATTAACGTGTTACCTTGAGAGATCTTTTAAATTTTCCAGAGCGCTACATCTTGTACATTTCCTCGATAAATCTACATCTTCCTGGATCTCTTCACCTTTATTTTGTATTCTTCAATTCCATTCTCCGTTGGAATTCTATTCAAAGACAATTTTCATTGTTGTATATTATTGAAGAAACTCATCTCGAAATGTAACCTAAATCTAACTGGAATGATGAAGTTAAATGATGACAATTTTATCATTAATTGTCATTTTGAATCAATAAATTATATCTTAATAATAATTTGTTTTAGTTTTATTTAAATTCATTTGTTTTTCTTTGTTTATTATAAAAATTTTTCAATATACAAGATTAAAAGATTATGGATGTGTATAATATCTATAATTCATTAAATATTAGATATAATAATTTTAATTATATAATATAATCTTAAATAATCTAATATTTAATGAATCATGGATATTACTTCTTAATAAGAAATTAATCTAATTATTATATATGAAAAATGATATATAACATAATACATATACAGACTGTATAATAGATTATTGAATTTAAAAGATTTGTTTAAAATGATTTGTTCAAAAAAATAAATATCAATAATTGATATCAGTTTTGATGTTTAAGATCATAATATTTATAATCATTAAATTAATGATGAAGTTTATTTCTATTTAATTTAGAATACTTTATTTTGTATAAATTTTTTATAAATTGTTGTATTTCATTGCTTATAAATTGCTCATAAACTTAAAGATAATTCTTGCATGAATATATCTAAATTGTTAAACCAGAAATTGTATTTTGATTAGGTATTCTTTCTAGAAGACTATCTTTTCTGTGATATTGCCACCTACACTTTTGAGGGTGTAAGAAGAAGATATTTATTCCATGCAAATTTTCACCACGTGAAAGGTCGAAGATAAGATTCTAAAGCTTTCTGAAAATTTAAAATTGTGCCTCCTCTTTTATTGTGATCCTTTGGATTCAAAAATATAACTCCTATATTATTTGATTAACAATTTCTCTAATAATAAATTTTAACTTTATTCTTAATTACTCTTTTTTTCATTATAATTGCAAAATAATTAATAAAACGAACTTGTATATTTTACTTATTTAATATATAATCAGAAGGAAAAATTTTTAAATATATTAAAAATATTATTTTAGTTATAGTTATGCCAAAACATTTCAAACTAGATTTTTCGAAAAAAAAAAAAAAAAAAATAAAATGGCATATACAGGAAATTACTCGGTCGGAAGAATCGTAATTTTTAAAGCGCGAGGAATTATTGCGATATTTCTACAAAATGTCAAATAGGCTGTGTAGGTTGTAAAAAATCATTAATATCTTCGAAATGTATTAAATTTTCCATCTAAAATTACTGATATTAAAAGTTAAAGTTTTAAAGAATTTAATATTTCATTTTACAATATCTATTCTGTAATAAATATAATTTATACATATTAAGATTATGAATTTTATCAAAAATCATATAGATATTGGATAAATAATGTTTTTCTAAGAATTTTCTCTAAATAATGGAAATTTAAAATAATGGAAATTTTATGAAAAAAGAATAAAGAGATCATAAATAATTGTAATATTTATTTTACAGTTAGTTTTAATATCTAAAAATTGCTATTAAAAATTGCAATTTTTACAAAATGACGCAATAATAATATTAATATAAACGTATATTTAATACGACAATTTATTTCAACACAAAATTATTATATTATTAGTTCGATGAAAAAGTTTTTTAGCTCCTAGCGAAAATACAGAAATATTTCACAATAACTGATTGTTGGAACTACGGTTCGTTTGTAGAGAAAACAATGAATGTATCTATGTGTCGTTTGCAAAAGTTTGGAAAAGCAAATAGGATCACAGTTGGAGAAATTTTATCGCATTTGGGGTGTTGAAATATTGCGAAGGGAAACTGTGTATTTGTAGGGTAAAATTGCGTTTGAATGGGGTAGATTTCGCAATTGGTAGTTATCGCTTGTTATTGAGTGGTACTATTATTTTCACTGGGGGTTTATTTGTTTCATTTTATCTTTTACTACCTGTGTGTGCGTGTATGTGTACGAGCTCTTTTTTTTCTTTGTAAGTTATAAAAATATATGAATACTCGTTTCAACATTATATAGACATAATTCGATATTCAATTTTAATACGTCATGTACAAATTCGTTTGAATTTATCACTTCATCATCAATTTTAAAATAACAAAATAATAAAATAACAAATCTTCGCTTTAAAAGCAAACGAAACACGAAAAAATAATAAAACAATATAAAATAAATAGGTTAAAAATGTACATGATATTATCAACATAATATCATAAGAGCAAAATGTAAAATACGATTATTTTTGAACAGCTACAGAGACTCTTCAGATTCTGCCAATTTTTTAAGAGGAAAATGGGTCAAAAGTCATGCGGAAAATGAAGAAATATAGTATTACTGTCTTTCGATAAGTAACGAAGACAGATAAAAGCCATTCGAGCGTAATAAATACAGTAGTAGCGCTGAATATGTTTGGCATTGGATCGAATTCAGGAAGATGTTACTATGTATGCAAACAATACGGTTTCTTGAATAATTTACAGGGTATTTTCATCGGTTAATGAATGTATGTATAGTGAGAAGAGAGAAATGGTAGTTGTTAAGAGAAAATTTGTTGGGAATGAGTTTTTAAGTAGATTTTCCTGAGAAATATTCAATTAGATTTATATTTTGTCTTAAAATGAATTTTATATTAATAATTGTTTTATATCAATGTGAATTTGGGGTAATAATTATTTCTTCATTTAAATTATTTACAATTGTTTAAATTTGGAAAATTAATCTTTCGTATTATTTTTATAGATATTTGAATATTAACATATAAAATTATATATTATTATTATGGAATATTATTAAATGAATAAAATATAATTTATGCTATATTATCATCCTCTTAATATTATATTTTAATAATTTGCAATATTAAACGTTTTGTCGGCTTATTGAGTTCACCTGTTATACTTTAATTAAACTAAGCGTCCATTAACTTAATGATCAGTCAGTAATACCGCGGTAATTCTACTTAGACTAATTTAAAATATAATGTATATTTCATTATTGATTTTATGTAAAATAAGAAAAAATTCGTATCTGCTTAATTTTCTGTAACAGATTGTAATTGCAAATTCATTCTATATTTTCATCACACAATTGTAAATATAATATATCTAATTATTTAATCAATATTAAATTAAAAAATTCAAAGCTATATGATTAAAATTTAAGCATAATTATTATCTCTAGTTTTCCTGATACTAATACGTGGAAATTATTACCACTATAAAAGCAATAAATAAAATATTTATAGACCAGTATACTTGAAATGTTAAGTGAAAGGATGAGTGCCAAGAAAAGTTGGCTTCATCCCTTATATATATATATATATACATATATATATTGCGAATCTCACACATTTTTTTGACGTATCAACACGTGAGTATTTTATTTTGTTTTCATCTCTTGTTTCGTGAGAAAACTTCAATTTTCATTATCGTTTCTGGAAAATCTGAACCCGTGGAAAAAGTTATACAAATATCGAATCGTTTGTGGAAAGTTAAAGCGGAATCAATGGTGATGAAGTTGTTCCTCTCGACATACATATGTAAATCTCCTCTCGTTGCGCAAACGAACTGAACAAGCAACTTAGTGGCTACAATGAAACATTCAATTCGTACATACCACTGTATTTTGTTTCCCGAGAAAAATAATTTTTGATTTTGATCTTTGTTAGAAATGATATATCGATATTTTTATTTTCCTTAAAAATTGAAAATATTTTGCATTTTAAAATATTTTCTTTTATTCTTGGGAATATTTTGGAATAATTTTTACATTATTTTAAACTTTCTTATTAAATTTCGAAAGATGTGGGAAAATAATTGCTTCTGATACGAATTAAATGGAATTCAATGAAATTTCTTTGATTGCAGATGATGAAAATAATTTAATAATTGTTTGGTTAACTTAATAATATAACTCTTCGAGGAAGAAATAGTTAGAAATACTTCGATAAATCTCATTTACTTTGGAACGAATAAATAAAGTCGCAATTAAACTTTAAATTAAAAATATACTTTCGCGTTATATGAGTTCAGACAAGAAGATAGAATGTTAATTCAATAATTTAATCCATTAATATTGTATTCACAAAAACTTGGAGGAATTGAATTGAAATTTGAATTTTCGAAAATCTCATGATTACGTTCTGTACACTAGCTTTCGCAAATTTGTTCTTTTCCCTCGATGGATTTGAGTTTTCTTAAACCAACAAACACACTGGATGAAACGTTCGTATAAAACGCAACCACTTAAAATTCCTTCCTTTTAAATCTGAGCTTTCAACTGCCGAACGAGAAATTCCACCGCAGTGCAACATGGTGCAATAGGAGAGCTAGGAGTACAATGCACTCCACTCTGTTTGACCTGAATTCACAGCTTCGAACAAACGTACAAATATATTGTTTAAAAATAATTAGACGAACATTTAGTTGTTTGAGAATTATTCGAAAATGCACGAAGCATTTAATATCTCCTTCAAAATAATTATTAGTATTTATTTATGTAAAATTATTTAAAAAAGAGATTATTATTAGATATAAATTTCTTATAATATGATTATTAATACAGTGTTTTAAAAATGTGACAAAAAAATTGTCAGAATATTTTTTTTATATTAAAAAAGCAAGATTTTGTTCTAATTATTGGATATAATTTTTTTTAAATATAATAACATTAATGATACTGATAATAATGTTTTAAAAATATTTAAAGATATTATTACACAAATTTCAATCAATACATTTTATATCTAACGAGCCATCTTATCATAAAAGAAAGACAATTAATAATACGAATATCTATAAATAATTATTGATAATCGTTGAAAAATAATCGCGTTCAGAGATGAAAAAAAGAAATATAAAAAAGAAAGGAAAAAAGTAAGAAGGAAGAAGAACGTAACGAAATGACACAACTGTGACAGAAACGAATGAAACGAATCTTCCTTGTGGTCGCCCCTTAGCCTCGTTGCGGCTTCGTCTCACCCAACCTTCGGGGTGTAATTTAATTCAAGGGTCGGATGAGTAAAGATAGATATAGGTACACGAAAATGAGTATAGCGAATGAGAAAAGGGGGTGAGAAAAGGGATGCTGGAGATTGAGACTCGATCTCGAGAACGAAACTGGGGAATAAATTTTTTGATGTATAAAAC